GCCTGGCTCTGCCTCCCGAGTGCTGGGATTAAAGGCGTGCGCCACCACCGCCCGGCGCCTTTATATTTCTGAGCCACATCTCTAATGGGGAGACACGACTGCCTTTCTCAGAGATTCCAGATGGTAGGTAACACTGCATTCGGAAAATTCCCTCACACACTAAGTCTGTTCTGATTTCACTAAAAGGAAAGAGCCAAAACCAAGCATGAGACACCAGGAAGGGTCAGTTCACACCCTCTGAGCTTCATGTTGAATTCTAAACTTTGCAGAGTGTGAAGAGTTAAGGATGGGCAGTCTCGGAATATGGGCACTGGCTGAGAGCTAATGGGATTGCGTTCCTTCAGTGGGCTACAACCTGGAGATTGGAAGCTTCATCTTGTAAGAGCTAGCATTTCAGAAGAACATAGCCTGCAAATCATAGTATCTGGTTTCAAACTATCCTCTGTATTTATTATCCTTTATGGGGAACTATGGGGGTCCAGCCCCTTGATTGTCCCTTCCCAGGGTCCCGGAAGAATCTACAACCAGCTGATAATTTAATATTTGAGGATAAGAAATGAATCTATGTATACAAAACTCCTTAGTTCATGCACTTTATTATTCTGTGATAGTTCTCTCTACACAGCTTCTATTCTGCTCTCATGCCTAGCTCCTTTCTTGCCTGATTTCTCTCTACATTTATCTGCTGTTCCTCTAAGTTCTATCTTAATTCCTTCATCTTAATTCTGCCCCATCTAGGTTCTCATCCATCTAGTTCCTTCCCATCTTAGCTCCTCTCCCATCTCCTTCTTTCTCATCTTGTTCTTCCTCATCTGGCTCTTCCTCATCTTCTGTCTTGTTCCTCTAGTACTCTCTTTTAGCACTTCAATCCAGTTCTTACCTATCTAGTTCTTCCGTTCTCTTTTTTTCCTCTCTCTCTTCCTCTCTGCCTCCTTATTCTTTCCATTCTCTCAGTTCTAAGTCTCTCAGGAATCCAGTTATAAACCCAAGCAATAGCAATCCTCTTGCTGAGCAAGGTCACCAGGCTTGAATTCTTAGGGGGTCATAAAGGCAGCTAAGAATTTTCCTCAGGTGGTGACCACCAGGCTTTCTTTTACAACCCAAAAGGGGAGTGGTCAATAGAGAGCTAATGGTCGGTTAGTATATCAAGAAGGGAATTTATGTGCTCAATGCACATTCCTAGAAGTGGTTAGGTAAGAAATTAGGAGTCTATTAGTAAGGCTGTAAGGAAAGAGGGTCTCACCCTAAATTGCACTATCCTCCTGACCTAGGAGACAGTGTTGTTAGGCCTTGGAGGCTTAAGTCTGTTCTTAGCGAGTATCTCTGATGAGGTACTTTCTTCCATCTGGGGATGGACCTGACCGGATGCTGCCAATGATGATAATTATAGGGAGGCTTGACCTGGGGTTCTGGTTGAGCATAGCTACCAGCGAAGGTTATCTAAATATTCTTTTAGTAGAGGGGACCTGGTCAATAAATGATGGAAAAGCTACAACAGCACACAAGAAACTCATAGCACAAAATGACTGATAATCAAAAGCCAAAATCACCAAGGCTTCTTGAGCCTCAGCTTGACCTCTGGAAGGCCCTTGGCTTCTTCCAGGTATTAGCTTTGTCATAATCAGCTGAAATCCTACTTCATATATTTTTGCTGCTTGTAGCAATCCTTTGCTTACTTGTCTTCAATTTACTAAACTGGCCTGGTCATAGGAATCACCAATGGGCACTTGTTTTAAAATACAGATTTCTAACTTCCTGAAAATTTTGTTTACAAAACTTTGAGGAGACAGACCAGAAAAATATATTCTTTTTTTTTTTTTTTTTTTGGTTTTTCGAGACAGGGTTTCTCTGTGTAGCTTTGCGCCTTTCCTGGAGCTCACTTGGTAGCCCAGGCTGGCCTCGAACTCACAGCGATCCGCCTGGCTCTGCCTCCCGAGTGCTGGGATTAAAGGCGTGCACCACCACCGCCCGGCCAGAAAAATATATTCTTATGAGGTACCCAGGTAACACTCCTGATCCGGTTAGTTTGGATCTAATTAGCACTTGCCTGCTGGCTCTCAGTCCTGACTTCATATTGGATTCTCCAGGAGCTTTCATAGAAACATCCTTTAGCAAGAGAGCTTTGTCTTTGCCTGGGAGGTCTCTGCCAGGCTCAGAAAGTCTTCAATGACCCAGTGGAGCTCTGACCAAATCTGACAGTGTAGGTTCATATGAAAATTCATTTGCTCTTAGTAATCACCCTATGAAAATGTTTGCTGCAGTATAAGGACTAGAAAATGAAGTCAGTGGACTGAGAACAAGCTAGGTAGATTAGAAAAGTAATTGAAGTTAGTCATTAGGGAAATGCAAATCCAAACCACAAGATAACACGTTGCATCTGCTACATTGGTCATATAAGTAGTGGCAGGGGAACAAACACAGAAAATAACACCTGTCAGTGTACGTTACTGCTGGGAAGGTAAGATGGTTTTGGCTTCTGCAGCGAACACGTGGTGTTTTCTCAAAGTTAAGCACAGCATTTCCACATGACCAAGCATTTCATTCCTAAGTGCTTGCCCAGAAGAACGGAAAGCAGGGAGGAGAACCATCCTGGTTAAAAGGAAAAGGTGGAAATGGCAGGTAGTCAGGCGAGGGAGAATGTGGCATATGCAGAGGACAGCATTAAGTGTGTGGCTGCGTCCATGTGAAGAGTATGCAAGATGAGATGGCCACTTACACAGCTCAAGATTTCTCTCATGCATATTTCTTTTTCATTCCTTCCTTCTCCCCCCTCATCCCTCTTCTCTTCTCTCAGTTGCTGGGGATAGAACCCAGGGCTCCATGGATGCCCAGCAAGTACTCTGTCACTGAGCTATACCTCCAGCTCCATGAATTTCTTTTAAAAAAATAAATTAACTTAGTGTGTGTGTAAGAGGGTGGCACACATGTGCCAGACTGTGTATATGAAGGCCAGAGGACTATGTGTAGGTCCTGGGGATTGAACTCTGGTGGTAAAGTTTGGCAGCAAGCACCTTTTACGCCATCCTGCTGGCCCATGAATGTCTTGTTTTATTACATTTGTTTTGTTTCCCAATCTACATCACAAAGTCTTTGAGCATAGATAGTGTATATAATTTAAATTGTATACATTAAAATTTTTATATTTAAAATTTTCTGTGATGTCGTTTTTTGGGGGTCCACAAAAAGGTGTTTGAGCGCCTGTTGTTTTCAGTTCTCTTGACCACACTCTTCGAAGTGGAACTGCCGGGTAATACGGCAATTTTCTGGTTTCAGAGGAAACACCGACTGTTTCCACAGTTGACTCCACAGCTGCCGCACCGTTTCACATTCCCACCGGCGAAGGCACAGGGTTTCCAGCCTCTCTACATCCCCGCCAACATTCGTTTTTTTCCACTCTTTTGATGACGGCCACCCTGGTGACTATAAAGTGTTGTGTGTAGCTCACTGTAGCCTCGGTCTGCCTTTCCCTGAGGAGGACTGACAACTTTCACATTTACGTAGCCTTTTCCATCCCCCTGCCTCTGTTTTCCGCTTGTTACACTGCAACGGCTTACTTACTCTATGGGTTGATTATATCAGCACCCGGTGCCTTTATGTATCGCAGCACCTGGTAGATAGTAAATTCCGTACCAAGGTCAGAAGGGAGGAACAAAACGAGACAGGACCCAAGAGAGGGTCTCTGCTGTACTTCTCTTTCCCTCCCCTGACTTAAAAGGCCCAAGCTGACATCATCCGTTTTTCTGACGGTCCCACATGTCCATCTCTTCATCATCTTAGCATGTTCTCAGTCCTTTGTCTAGTTCTCATTCAACTCTGAGCTCTCAGTAGCAATAGTGATCTCTTCACCCAAACTAGGCAGCGAGACACATACAGAATAAGACTTCCTCTCCGACCTAGGCCTCTTGCTTTAGAACGAGCCGTATATCATAGCCCCGATGTGTCTCACGCTCGGTCCCTTGTCATTTAATATGCAGTGTTGATGAGGCAGCTAGTAACTCTGAGCATACATTCCTGAGGGATTAGGCTCCAGGGAAACACTTCTCTATCTTGCCCTAAGTCTTTATTATTTATTTTTTATAACTTATTTTTATTTTATGTGCATTGGTGTTTCGCCTGCATATATGTCTGTGTGAAGGTGTCAGATCCCCTGGAAGTGGAGTTACAGACAGTTGTGAGCTGCCATGTGGTTGCTGGGGACCGGACCCTGATCTCCTGGAAGAGCATCCAGTGCCCTTACTGCTGAGCCATCTCTCCAGCCCTAAGTCTTTATTCAAATCGATAAATTAAAATAGTATATATTTTGGTCTATCTTGTAGTGTTCTGAAGTGGGTATACATTAAAAATATGAGGGGATGGAGAGGTGACTCAGTGGTTGAGAACACTCGGCTGCTCTTCTAGAGGACCAGAGTTTGATTCACAGTACCTAAATTGTGGCTCATAACCCTATAACTCCTGTCCCAGGGGATCTAGTGCCCTCCTCTGGCCTCTACAGGCACTGCACACATGTGGTACTCAGTCATTCAAACACACTGAAGGCCTATACACATAACATAAAAATAAAGGAAGACTGATTTTAAAAGTATGGAACATCTTACAAAGTCCCATGCCATCCTTGCAGGGTGTGTGTGTGGGGGGGCACACTAATTTTTGTTTGCTTCCAAGTTTGGTGTATGTGCTTGTCAAAGCAAGCATGCCCTCCATCTTCAGAAAAAGTTAACAATGCCCGACTGTCCTAAAGGCTTGTGGGATGTTGTAAACTAGAGGCAGGCATGGCTATGGAGTACAGGGAAGAGCTGAGTTGTCAAAACACTTGGGACAAAAGACAAAGGGAAGCTGCATGCTCTCTCCTTGGATACAAAGAGGGCAATGGTCCTTGTGTGATGTGTTATTTATCGGTAATATTGACCGTCTTTTTCTTGATGGCCTTGAGTGCTAATCCCTGGTTTGGGGTATTCATGAGTAAGTGTAATATTCACAACATTGCAGAATGGCCAAAGAGCTTTTCTTAGTATTAAACGTTTTATTCAATTCTGAAATTTTTGTATTTGTAGATCTAAAAGTAACATATGCAAAGGGACAATTTCATGACTGACAGTGTTCTGGACATCAGACAAGAATTTCAAGTTGTTTTATTCAATTAAAATATTTGTTTTCAAAAACATTTGAGGAACTATTCAGCTCTTACTGGAAGAAAAGAATACTAAGTCAGAGGTGGCCTTTAATCACAGCATTCAGGAGGCAGAGGATCTCTGTGAGTTTACGGCCATCCTGGTCTACATAGCAAGTTCCAGGGCAGCCAGGGATACATAGTGAGACCCTGTCTCAGAGACAAAAATAAAAATATTTTTAGCTCAAGACTCACGATCAAGGATCACAGCCCAATTTTTGGTTCCCCATCTCTGATTACACATATTTTGTCTTGCTTCCCACCTAGGCAGGGATGAAATGAGATGTAAGTAGAAAGCTTGAGCTATGCCTTTGATTAGGGTCAGGGGATATGTGCGTAGTATATGTATGCTGGATTTCTTGTCCATCCTATGCGGAGTCTAATTCTAGCCAGGCTAGCTAACGCTTTGGGCCACCTCCTCCGGGAGCCTTCAAGGCCACCGCCCTGGCTTGAGTTCTCAGGGACTCAGCCCTTCCCTCTCAAGCCCCTTTCTTCCCATTGGGGATTTCAGAAAGCTTATCCTTTCTAAAGCTGGAAAAGGAAGTGAGATGGATGGGGACACGCTCCCTGCTCATTCTCCTCCTGTCACTCCAGTCACTCGAGGCTCGATTGCTCTCAAAGGGAAAAGAGCTGAACCTAGAGAGGGAGGAGGGCAGGAAGAAAGGCAGGCCGACAGGGAGAGGTGTGGATAGGGGGAGGTCAGCCAGAGGAACAGAGCGCTAGAGCACGGAAATAATTCCAGATGGAGGAGTCTTTGTTCTCCGCCTCTCCCTGGGTCACAAGGAATAAGCCAAACCCCACAGTTTCTCGGGGGAGGCAGGACTTGGGGATCTGGACCTCCTTCTAGTCCTAGAACAATCCCTTAAGCATCCTGTCACCTTGGGCTTTTGGGAGTCTGTCTTCTCTTCAGAACAATTAGCACAGACTTTGGGTTCAGAGAGACCCCGCCCTTAGCACCTGCACGACCTTGGGCAACCTTGACATCTGCAAACCTGGGACTTCATTTATGAAATGAGCAGTAGCAGCACATCCGAGTTGCGCTGTTCGGTTTTCCGGTTTCCAAGGACACAATACTGCTAACTGGGTTGAGTTATAAAGAAAAGGGGTTTGTTTTGGCTCACAGCCCCTGAGCTTTAAAATCACATGGGGAGCACTGGTCTGCATAGGTCATCACATGGCAAGATGCAGGGAATGCATGTATGAACTTGTCTGTCTTCTGGCCTCCCCCTCCCCTTCTCTCTTTTCATGGGGTATTGTGTGATATTTCAACACAGGTATTCATGGTGGGATGTCCAAATCAGACTAAGCACGTCTATCTTCTCAAACCCTATTCTTTAAAGCCACAAAGAAGTCAATGATGAGGCTCAGCCCTGACGGCCTTGTCTAATCCTAATAGCCCCACAAAGGCAGACCACAGTGGGTTATGTTTCCTCCCTCGGAATACTTTTCTCCTGTGATTGAGTTCGCAACATACAAACGTGGGGGACACACTCACACCTCAGTAGTTGTTATGAGAACTCAATAAGAAACCAGTGGGGAGTAGGCGGTTCAGGATCGGAGAACAGTGGTGCCTTTGGGAGCCAGGTAATGTGGGTTCAAGCAACCATTCAGCTAAATGTGCAACCCACTCAGAATCCAGTCCATCTCTGTAGGACGGAGTCCCAAGAGCATATCCACAGGGCTGAGATAAGGTGCATGAGACTACTTTGTAGGGCTCTGCAAAGGATTATTTTTGTTCTTAAGCTTGCCCTCCAACAGAGGCTGAATAAGTACCGAAGCGGCCAAAAAGGGAGAGTGAGGGAAGGAATGTGAATCTTAGCAGGAGTAACAAAAAAAGCCTGAATAATTCCCACACTGTTCCTAACGCTGACAATTAAGCCAGAGCTGTGAGGAACAGTTCACATCCACGGGAGGAAGGTAAGGACTCCGGAGGGAGGGAGGATGGGGTTTCTGAGGCGGGGGCAAGGAAACCCAGTGCTGCCAATCCCTTAGGAGACATGGAAGGCCCTAGCCTGGAGAGGGAAAAAGAGGGAGTCCTTTCAGTCCCGCTTCTGTGTCTCCCCTTGTGACCTCGACTCCCTTGTGATCCACAAAGCACAGATCCTGGCCTGGCGTCAAGAAATGCTGCTTTCCAATGCCCCCCACCTGGCAGCTACTGGGCAGATTCAAATACGCCCAGGGTTGGAGTCCAGGGAGAAGACAGGAGCTCTGCTATGCTCTATTGGAGGTCACCTCCTTGTGCCTCTCTTGCCTCGGAAGAGCCCCTCTAGCCACCCCCTCCCTTGACCCCCGCCTCCCCTTGGGCATTCTGAAACAGGTCGTGGTGCCAAGGCCACTGGCTCTGCTGGTTCTGGGCTCCAGTGAGAGGCTGGATCTTGAGTTCCTGTCGGGAGCTGGGTAAACAAGGCTGTGCCAGGGAAATGTTTCCACAGATTAGGGCCTCCTGGGGTGGGGCAGCAGCAGCAGGTGGCAGGGACTGGGCAGAGAAGGGAGCAAAGTTCCAGGAGCCCTGGGACAGCAGCTTGCTTTTTCAGGCCCCAGCCTCTGGAACCAGGAGTTCTGGGGTTCCCTCAGAGCCTCCCCTCAAGCTCACCTACCAGAGACCAGCTGACGCTACACAGACCCCTTTATTTGGTGGACCGTGCTTGGGGGAGCTTCTCAGTGTGACCGAGTTACTCAGATGTGGACTAGACCAGAGTGGAGGAAGGAAGCAGAGGTCGGGAAGGCAGCTCCCAAGTCCATGAAGAGAGCGGGTGGCGGGAGAAAAGGAATTCTAGAAGACAGGCCAGCTTAAGTTAGCCTTCTATCTAGATAAAAACCTGCTTGAGATTTTTCCAAAATCTGCACTTAACAAATGGGAAAGCAGACAAGTTGAACAACCAGCATGAGACAGTCCAACACCTTCCAAGACAGGACAGAGGCAGAAGAGGCCGCTCAGGGGAAGAGTACAGACGTCAGAGGGATGCCAGGCTAGACCTGTGTATCTTCTCCGCCTCCTTGGAGCTTGTTCTATGGTGAGTGGAGGAGGGGGCCAGGCGGACGAACTCTGCATGACAAGGTGGTTTCCACCAAACCTTTTATCAGAACCAGCTCTCGCTCCCCACAGGTTGGTCCTGGCCCAGGGCTGGGCGCCGGGGGTCTCACAGTTCATGCAGGTGAGGAACTGGCTCCTTGTAGGTGTCAGCATTCTGGATCAACTCAAAGATGAACTTCACCTGGTTCTCGTAGTTCTGGACTGAGATCTTCTCGTTGATTCCATGGATACTGAGGGAAGAGACGTTTGGGGGGAGGAGACAAGGGTCACACGAGCTGTCACAGAACACCCTTCCTGCCCCCTCCCCACCCATGACTGGTCTTTGGCCCTCCACGGGGGCAAGGTGAGAAAAGCCATTTGCCAGCTTATGCGTGACATACCAGTTATTTCTCAAGGACCTGTGCTCACACCCAAGAACTCGGGGGGGGGGGGGGGGAGTTTAACCCAGTCTTTGGTTCTGAGGTCCGTTTCTCCTCTGGTAGAATTATCTTCCTGATTCTCCTTTTCTTAGAGTAGAGTCTCCTGCCTGAGTTTTCCCCACAGGGGTAAGAGAGGGCAGGAAGGCAACAGCCCGGGGCACATGGCCCCTCCCCAGCCTCTAGCTAGGGACACTGCCATTAGAAGATGATGGAAACAGAGGGGCCACTCACCCCAACTGGAACAAACCCCACAGCATAATTACCATGCTTTTTGCTTGTTTTTTTTGAGACAGGGTCTCTCTGTGTAGCCCTGGCTGCCCTAGAACTCATTATGTAGAGCAGGCTGGCATTGAACTCAAGAGATCTGCCTGCCTTTGCCTCCCGAGTGCTGGGATTAAAGGCGTGCACCACCACTGCCCGGCTCCCCCTTATTTTTTTAAATGAACATAATATTTGCAATTGTAACCATTTTTAAGTTCACGAATTCAGTGGCATGAATTACATTCAAGATATTAATTACACTCATGATATTCATTAATTACACTCATGATATTAATTACAGTTGTGGTATTCATTGATTACATTTGCAGTATTCATTCAATATATTTATGATAATGAATGCTATTCTTAAGATCACATTCAAACACTTTTATTCTGTTTCAAGGGACTTGTGGTGCGGTGAAGAAATCAGGCCTGGTGTAATAGATTGAAGAAGACTAAATGGAAATTTTATCTTCTCAAACTTCAAGAGTCAAAATTTGCTGAAGAGTCACAAAATAGTCAGACATGACAGTTAAAACTGGTTCTCACATTTTGGATTTCCACAGTATTTCTTCTGAGAAGGCCAAGTAGCATGCCCACCTGTGAACTCACGTGTGTCTGCTTATCAAAGAATGTTGGAGGGTCTCCTTAGTTTATAGGTGGAGAAAGTTAGGTCCAGGGGTGAGTGGTCTCTCACAGTGAGAAAGACTACTTAAGGGTCTCTTTCTTCCTTCCTTGACATGCTTTTGTTACATAGCTCAGGCTGGATTTAAGTTTGGCAATCCATGGGGCTGGAGAGATGGCTCAGCAGTTAAGAGCACTGTCTGCTCTTCCAGAGGATCGGGGTTTGAGTCCCAGCACTCACATGGTGGTTCACAACCATCTGTTGGGGCTCCCCTTATGGCCCCCAAAGGCAATGCATGCAAATGTGTACAGCTAGCTATACATGCAAACAAAACACTCATACATAAAATATTTTTTAAAAAATGGCCATCCTCCTGTCTCAGTCTCTTAAGTGCTAGGATTATAGGCTACTACATTCAGCTTTACCTTATTTTCAACAAGTTCAACAGTCACCTGATTCTCTCCATTTTTTAAAAGAGGAGTTCACGTGGTAGGGGGGTTATTGCCACAATTCCTGGAGCCATGATGCCAGACTGGGTTCTAGAATCTCTTTAATTTGTCAGAATCTGGTTTTCCTCTATTCTGAAAGTCACCCAAATGGGAGGGGACAGTTCAGATATATCTCCTCTCTGCCTTGCTGCTTAGCCCTGTTCCACTTACCTACTGAAGCCCTGAGAATTCAGGAAAACGGGGTTGAACAGGTAGATGCCGTTGGTGATGTTGGTATAGTGCCGGCTGTCTGTATTGGCAATACAGATACCTAGAAAGGGGAGAGTAAGAGGCAATGGACTTTATGTGAGCCACCTGGCCAGTGAGGTAGGGGAAGCTGGGTGACTGACTGGGAGCCAATTCCTGGGACTTCCTAAGAGCATCCGCCCGGGACAGGGCTTCTCTGGGTAGCCCTGACTTTCCTGGAACTCGGATCTGTAGACCAGGCTGGCCTCAAACTCAGAGATCCGCCTACCTCTGCCTCCCAAGTGCTGGCACTAAAGGCATGCAACACTTAGCACCTAGGACACTTTTGATTGTCTAAGCTTTGCAAATCCTTACAAAAACTGTAACTTTAACCAGGAACATGGAATGTCCGGGAAGCACTGGTGAGGTAGCCCTGAGTGGTCAGAAGCTAAGTTGTTCTGGTCCCAGGATGACCAGGAGCCCTCTCATTGTATCCCCACAGTCAAGGCCATTTGCTCTTTGAGGAATCAAGAGTTCAGAGAGACCCCTTGGCCTGTATTGTGTATCACTTAGGACAACTGTGGGGACATTTTACTGAGGTGGAACAAGATCCCTCCTCATGGAGCAGAATGTTCTGCTGGTCTCATCTTCTGAGGGATGACTCTGTGGGGGAGGCAAAGCTAGGATAGGAAACTCCTCCCCAACCTCCTACTGTCCCCAAAGGGTAGGTCACCGGGCTGGGCTGGGGTTCGCCTTGAATAGGCATGGCCTCTGGGAAAGGACATTCCCAGCATCAGTTCAAGGGCAGTGAGATGGTTCAAGGCGGTATTTTGTGTTTTGCTCTGTTTTCCTCTTCTCCTTTCAAATGGATCCCTGAGTCTTATTCTGTGCTTTGTGGGTTTCTTCCTGTGATTTTTCTCCACCCCTCTTGCTGTCCGACCCTACTGACCGGATGGTGGCCAGTGGGAAGGATGGGGTGAAGAGAGCCTTTGAGCCTGAAAGAGGAGGATATGGACTGCGAGAGCCGGGGGTTCTTAGAAGTTCATAGAAAGCCATGTGTAAGCCTACCTAGAAGGAACTGGACACAGGCTTTCACATTAGAACAGGCCCACACATCGAGACCAGAGATTTGGAAACTGCTCAGTCATCACTATGCCAAAATCCTCTGGGAGCATCTTTCAAAGAGGCAGATTCCAGCTGGGATACACGAGTGGGTCCAGCTGTTCTACAGTTTATGAAGTTCCCTGGGAGAACCACTGGCAGGTTTAGATGGTCTGCTAGAAGGTGGGGGAATGCACAGGGATCTGCAGGCATTAGACTGAGGAGCACTGGTATAAATGGACTCAGACAGAGGCTTTTCTGGGCTGCCACTCTGAGTCCGGCTGCTCAGCTGTTATTCTCCCGGAGGTAACTCCTCTAGGAGAGGAGTATTCTAAGCCACCCCCTCCTCTATGGCAGAGGGACCTGGGACACTGCTGCTCTAGGTTAAGCAAGGACCCATCCTCGACTGACCTAATTTATTGTTTCTCTCCCTTTCCTGTTTCCTTTCTCACTTCCACCCCGAGGGAAAAATACAGTTCCAGGGACAGATGCAGCCAGCTGTTTCCAGGATGAATGGCTGGCTTGGGGGCAGGGAATGGGACATCAGATAGGAAGCAGCCCCAGCCACCACCACCCACCAGCCACAGCCGATGAAGTCATTACCGGGGACAACAATATTGACTTCCGGGAAGACAGACTGTATGGTCTGTTGAAGCAGCTGGTAGCCCATGGCCTGGGCATCTGAAGGGCTGATGGGCAAGGGCTCAAAGGATCTCAACACATGTAACTGGACACGGTCATCAGCCACGATGTTCTTGACGAGTTCTAGGACCTTCAGGGTAGAAACAAAGAGGGTCACAGATCTGCTCTCTGGGCACCAAATTCAGATCTTTTGTTTCAAAGCAAGGTAGCAGCACTCTTGGAGTTTAGAGAAAAGAATGTTTTTGCAGTGGGACCCCAGCTTTTGCTGCCTGGCCGTGGTGGGTGATGTAAGAGCTGGCACTTCCTAGAAAGCATGGCAGAATTCAGCTAAGTGTTTGGGAGGATTATCTTACCGCTCCGAGTCAGATGGGGAACTGGATAGTCTGGAAATTGTTTCTTTCCCTTGGGTTATGGGCCATGGGTAAAGTATAAGGAATAGTAAGTAGGATGGGAATCTCAGCCAACTCAAGGGGCCGATCCTGCTCCAACCTGAGCACTTTGGGGTGCAGCCATGGGTTGCAAAGGGCTAGACCTCGTAGTTTTCTTTTTCCTCTCTTGAGCTGCCGCTGATTTGTAACCAAATACACCAAGCCAGAAAGATGAGCTCACCATGCACACAAAATCAGGAGTGTGGTGCTGGGGCTGAAAGGTTTCCCTTTGCCTCTTTTTATTGAGCAGGACCATGAGAAAACTCCCAGAAGACAGAGCCTGAGGTGAATCCATTGAGATCCCTGCTCCCGGGAAGGATGTGGAGGCTCAGGTCACATGAGGAAATGGACCTGGAGGCTTACTGTGGCCCCCCAATCCAGTCAGCCTCACGAGGAAAAGCTCAATATCAACCATTTGATCAGTCATGAGTCTGAAGCTGCTTCTGCCCTACCGAGGCCCGTGTCTCATAGCTGGAGATCACTAATGGGGGCATTATTGGGAGCACTCATTTTAGGCCAATGGACCCTAGAAGTGTGGTAGAAGCTACATCTGGAGAGAGCAGTGAAGTTTCCCACTTGTAGCTCAGAAACTCCATCAGAATTGAAGCAAATGCCCTTCGGGGAATGAATGGGTGAGGGTTATGAGAACTGGTTTTCCATCAGAGCTCAGTTTCACCTCAGCACTAGTATCCCCAATACTCTCAAATATCAAATTCACCGTGGGCATGGCTCAATGGCAGAATGCTTGCTCGCCTAGCATGCATAAGGCCCTAGGTTCAAGTCCCAGTACCTTAAAAAAAGCTATGTATAGTCTTCATACATTGTTTTACCCAGGGAAAGGCTCCTAAGTTATCATCTGTGCAGTAGATAGGGGCTGTGCCTGTTTTTCCTTCTTCAGTCACTCCAGAGGTTTCTGCATCTGGAAACTGAAGAAGGTATGATGACCGGCTCCTTTTAGTGAGGGGTCGGGGCCTGATTCAGAGGCAGACACTGCATCAGCCTCGTTCCCTTATAGTGTGGAGCAAGTACAAAGGAATAAATGTTGGCTACTTGAGCCAAAACAGACAAGAACCAACAAAAATGATAACAGGCGTGGTTCCTCTAAGTACCTCGCCCATTGTACAGTTAGCAGTGCTGGGCTGAGTCTCTGAGTACCTAAGGAAGGTGCTTTACTGAGTCCTGAGTACACCAGAATAGGAGGTGAGGATCAGAAAAGAATTCATCAGTCAGGCAGTGGTGGCGCAGGCCTTTAGTCCCAGCACTCAGGAGGCAGAGGCAGGCGGATCTCTGTGAGTTCGAGGCCAGCCTGGGCTACAGAGATCCAGGAAAGGCACCAAAGCTACACAGAGAAACCCTGACTTGAAAAACAAAACAAAATAAAACAAAACAAAACAAAAAGCATTCATCTTAGGTGTGTAGTTTGGTGTTGGGAATTTTTGAGTCTGAAGAGAGGATATGGTACTGGTAGAGAAGAGGCAAAAGGATATTCCTAAGGTCAAGAAGGATGGGTTAGAGAAAATGAGGCATGACAAAAATGTCATGCTCTGGATAATTGCTCACAGTGGTGTGACTTTGGGCAAGCCCCCAGACCTCTCTGCCTGTCTGCTCCTGTGACCAGGAGCCAAGCTTCTTCTCCGTGTTTATGACGGGTCTACTATTACATTCCGCTCAGTGCAGTATGCACGGTATGGAAGAAGGAATTGGGGTTAGGTGTTACGGCAAACCACGCCTCAAAGGCATCACAGGGAAGATATTCATAACCAGCATGCTAAAAAGTGGGACAGCATATATTGAGCGGTTGCCTGCTGTGGGTCTTCCGGTAACAGCCTACAGAGCGGGATGGAAGCTGGATTCACAACCATTAAGACCCGACCAAATTCAGATAGCCAACATTCTTACCGTCATAGCAACCTTGGAGATCTCTCTTCCCATTGGCAGTCCCTCCCTCTAGTCCCATTATTGTGACTCTGACTATTGCTGGAGGGGTCATGTCCCTTCTTTACAAACAGACAATTACTGTAGCCCAGTGGGGCCTCTATCTTATATGAACCTCCTGAGGGCAGGAGTAAAGGCCGGTCTGGCTGGCTGGGTGTGGATGAGCATAGCTTTAATTCCAGCAGAGGCAGAGGCAGGAGGATCTGTGAGTCCAAGACCAGCCTGATCTACAGTGAGTTCCAGGCCAGTGAGGGCTACATAGTTTTGTTTTTGTTTTTGTTTTTCCAGACAGTGTTTCTCTGTGTAGCTTTGGAGCCTGTCCTGGAACTCACTCTGTAGCCCAGGCTGGCCTTGAACTCACAGAGATCCGCCTGGCTCTGCCTCCCGAGTGCTGGGATTAAAGGAATGCACCACCACTGCCCGGCTTGAGACCCTTCTTAAAAAAAAAAAAAAAAAGGCATGTCAATATGCCCAGCTAACACTTCACTGCCCCTGCATGTAACTCTGCATGTCCCCACTGCCACTTCACACTGTGTGACATGGCAGCCAATTACCTTATACTACTCCCCACTTCTGCTACCTGCTGTTCCTTCTCGCTGGACCACACACAAGTACCGTTAGAATGGGAATCTTGTCTTTCTGGGTCAGCGCTATCCCAAGGGCTTAGAAGAATGTCTAGCTAGGTCCAGGGGTGCAGGCCTGTAATCATAGCTACTTTGGAGAATGACAAGTTCAAGGCCAGTTTGGGTAACTTAGCAAGGCCCTGTTTCAAAATAACAAAGTAGGAAAAATGGGGAGGGGCTGGGAATATAATGGGAGGGCTCTCAGCTGGTGTGTGTTTGTGTGTGTGTGTGTGTGTGTGTGTGTGTGTGTGTGTGTGTGTGTGTGTGTCTGCCCCCAGCCACCTTCCTCTACACTGTGGGGAAGAACAGATGTAGCTAGATGGGAGCTGTGGCCTCCACATGTGTTCCCACTGGACCCAGCGTGAAGCTCTGAGCTTGTGGCCCCTGGACAAGAAAGAGCGGTCAGAACAAATGGGTTCTCTGAGCTTTCTAAAGGATGGAGATTTTCCACCCCTCACCGGGGCAGGTGGCCAGGATGAGTCCTGGGGATTCCAGGAGTGTCATCAGACAGATAAGAGGGAAGGCCTCTGTGGTTAGGAGGGGAAAAGTGCCAGGGAGATGAAAGCCTTAATGGGTGGAAAACAGCCTTTGGAAAAAAATAGAGTTGGAATGGGCTGGAAAAAAAGAAAAAAATGGGGAAAAAAAAAGCAGGTGGAAAGCTCAGCTGATTAAATCCAGTAATTTCCTGGTCCTGAGCCTCCAGGGAGAGAACAAGGTTGGCACCTGATGAAAAGCAGCTGAATCCAGGGTTCACTCTGAGCTCAGGCCCCTCTCCCAAGGCCGGGCAGGCTGTTAACCCACTCCTGTGTCTAATCATGAGTGCACCTGCCTCCCTGCATAGATAGGGGCAGATGAATCTTAAGTGGGAAGGACTCTTGAAAACCAACAAGGAGAAAGAAACCTAGGTGTGTCTGACCCTTGAGTCCCTCCTGTATTCTAGAATGTACTATCCATCTCCCAGCTGCTGGGTTGCCCTCTTGGGGTTTTCTTTTTTTGATGTTATTGTCATTGTG